GTCCCCTACATAAATTCTTTAAAGAATCAAAAGCAACTTGACACTGAGGAGACCATACAAACGGAACAGTTTTTCGGAGGTTGTCAGTAAGAGGTTTTACTACATCAGAAAAATTCCTACAGAAACTTCTGTAGTATCCTGCCATGCCCAGGAAGCGTCGGAGTTCTCTCTTTGTCTGAGGTATAGGAAAGTTAACGATGGCACTAACTATAGTTATACCGCAAATATATATTGTTAAGGACATCAAAACCTAAAATAAAACTCCAGAAAGGTGTACAATATGTGACCTTTAAAATGTTTCTTCACTGTCAGACTAAGGTAAAACTTTGATAATAGTGCTTAGATCACTTCTCACTACAGGGGGAAGCAAATACAAACCACCCCATGAAAAGAGCAGGAGAGTGTGTGAGAGACACATGGAGGAAGATAATAATCCTCCATTAGCATGAAGAAAACTGAATAACACATTATTACTGCAACACCGTCCTCTCTCTGATACACTGCCTTTATCTGCCTTACACTTCCAGCATGAGAATGACTCTACAGCTCCTGCGCTGGATTCTAATTCCTCCTCTTCGCATTCATCTTCCTCTCCAAACGCTTCTGAAATTAATTCAGCCCAAACCACTTTCCACAGACTCCATTCAAACTGTGTGATCATTTCAGCCTTAGCTGTGCAATGTATTGTATAAACTTCATAATAAATGTAATCTTAAAAGTGTGAAAATCTCCAATTGGATTGCATTAATGGTGTTTTCCATTTAAAATTGTCGGTGAGTTGATGTTTATAATAAGTTAATATTTATACTTTTCATGCCTGGCCATTTAAAATCACTTTATTTATTTTGCTCATAAGCTCATAAAATCCAAATGCACTTAAATTCAAATAAAATTCTGCAGAAAACTTAAAGAATTCAGAGGGAACTGTACTGACTTTGGGTCATCAAGATGCAGTAATGAATATTTTAAAGATGTCACTCTTAAAAAAAAAAAAAAAAATCTTCAGATGTACTTAAGAAATGTGTTGGCAAATTTAAAGTCACAAAGCATAGACATTTGCAGCACCTGAAAATTTATTTTAGTAGGACAACCTTGCAAACTAGTCACTAGTAAATCCAGTGACTATTTTTCCTTTTTTTAAATTATCATGACTCATGAGTATACAGTGCAAACTGGACGATGGAAAGTCTAAACGGACAAAAATCTTGAGGTAATACATAAGCACAACCTCTGATTTGTAGAAATATTTAAAGAATTTATAAATGTAAAAATAAATAAATAAATTTAGTTGTGGCAATTTTGAAAATTAAAAATAATAAATAAAATAAAATAATAAACAAATTACATAAAAATAATATAAAATTAATAATAATAATAATAATAAGGTTTTAATTCAAATAATGTTTACAAATAAAAAAAATTATATTTAAATATTTACTTCATATAAGTTGTACAAATGTCTTGCATATGTAACATTACAGAAAATAATGAAAATATATCGTACTTCAATATTTCATCAAAGGATGGCACTACATGCATAAAGGTCTAAGCCCACAACATCTACTATCTGTCAAATCAAATAAATCACTTAAGTTGTAGTAATTTTGAGAAATTAAAAATAAAATAAATAATAAAAAACAACAACGATGATGTTTTAGTTCTAGAAACACTTCAAAAAAATGTTTTAAATATACCATACTTCAATATTTCATCAAAGGATGGCACTAGTCAAGGTCTAAGCCCACAACATCCAATGTGTTTTTTTTTTTAATAATTCAATCATTTTTATTTGTTTTGCTGCTTTGCAAGCGCTGCCATTTCCTTCAGAAAATGCAAATCCAGAGTCATGCTATGTGTGCAAGTGAAAGCAGTGCAGCGTCACTCATTCAAACATTCTCCATAATACTGGAAAGAAAAACTCTCTGGTATAGAAAAATAAAAAGACACGAAAATCAACACGCATACACACAGCGGACAAATCCAAAGCCCTGAGCTAAACGTGCATCTGCCTGGTTAGACAGTGAAAGGTCACTGCTTCAGCCATGAGATTCTCACGAAGAGCTGGTCACAGTGTCACGCATCCAATGCACTCCTCAATATCATTCAGAATCACAAATACGAAGCTCATACATATTTAACTACAATTCCATATCTTTCCAAAGTCACCAACACAACACAAGAATGCTATAGATGGATTCCAGGGAATTGCTATGTGGTTTTTAAGGAGTTCTGGGCGGTTGTAAACAGTTGCTATAGTGTTCCACATGGTTGCTAAGGTGTTCTGGGTGGTCAAAAGAGCCCACCAGACTTTTTCGTCTCAAGCTCAACTCAAGCCACTCTTTCAATTTACAGTAGTCTGTATTTTTCTACCAGATGAAAATCTGAGGTCTAATGAGAATTCATTGATACTTGAGGTGAGGGGTTTGTTCAAATGGCCTTTAGTTATAAAACTGTTTCACTGCCTAATATTGCACCATATGTCATACACGGCAAATGTCATTATCAAAGGGAAAGCATCATCGCTAACATCAAAAATGTCTGACAGCTGATGTAATCTGACATCCATCAATCACAGCCTGATACCAAACAGACTGCGACTACCAAGGTCATAAATTATACATCTATATATTGAAAAAAGAAACACCCAGGCCAACATTGAACACATTCTGGAACCAGACAGAAAGACA